CAGCCCCGTGCTGCGCTGGGGCCACCATCCCCCGGCACCTCCAGGACACCCCGCTGTGCTCCAGTGCTGCCGGGAGAAATGAAGTGCTTCTCCAGAGCCTGGTAGAGCCAGTGAAACGCCTTTCCCCAGCCTCAGTGGGTTCTGAATGACTCACAGCTCTACTCAGCTCTGAGCTGCCCCAGTTTCCTCGGGGAGCACTCAGCCTGGCCACCCCCAGTTTGGAGCAGGGCAGAGCTCAGATGCAGAAAAGTCCACGCAGGGCAGGTGCTGGAGGTGGAGGGAGGCTGTCCAGGGCAGTTCTGTCCAATAATAAATGCTTTCCCTGGTTTCCCCTCTGTGGGGTTGGGGTTTGTGTTTCCAGGCTCCAGCCCTGTAGAGCCAAGCTCCCGTGCTGAGAGCCCACAAGTCCTGCTGCATCCCACACCACAGTGTCCAGGGGCAGCCTGGAGCTCAGCCACCTGCAAAAACCATCCAGCAGGATCAAAAGCAGCAGGGGATAGAGACACTCATTGCCCAAGCCTTGTTTTATTGGGGAAGAGCATGCAGCCAAGAGGGCAGGGGTGAGGAGTGCTGGCAGTGTCCTGCAGTGGGGTGACCTCCCGGTGCCCCCAGCCCTCGCCGGCCGCGTGCTTCGGCTTTGCAGGGTCAGCAGTGCTCCACACACCGGTCCAAAACATGCTGTTTTAACTACTTACTCCAGAAAGTTTGTAGGAGGCTGCTTCTTTCCTCCCTCCCCCCAATCCCTAGCATTTGAGGCAGCAGCAACCCCATCCTCCAGGGGTGACTTAGGGTCCTAGCTCAATAAATAGTGCCCAGCACCACTGCTGCCTTGCACCCCATCTTTCTAAGTCTGAGTTTTCCAGGGGATTTGGGGGGCTGATGACTCCCTCAATGCACCCACAGGCTGAAGGTGGTACGGGGCAGCTGTAAAGCCTTGGGCAGGAAAATGCCACGAGGAAATCAGCTGCTGACAGGACAGAAATACACACCAGCGCCAGGAGCGGGCAGGGGCTGTCAGGTACCTGCCAGGGCTGGGAAGAGCAAGGCAGGCAGCAGGCAGACCTTGCCTGACAGCACTCACCTGGCCCAGCCAGGGGCTGCCCACCCAGAACACAAAAAACCAAGCACCGAGGGTGGGAGGATGCATTTCTGTCCCAAACCAGGATGGGAAGTGAGGCTGGAGCCCCCTCAACCCGCAGCTCCCTGGGGGCCTGAGCTGAGCCCCAGCATGAAAGGAAAGGCTTGTGTGGAAGTCCCTGTGGAGGGGAGCGCCCAGACACTGAGGGCAGACAGCCCCGGCCCTCCCTGCCCCCTGCCAGCTCCTCTGGGGCCTTGTCAGGCTGGGGAGTCCATCCCTTAGTCGACTAAGAAAATAAATGAAGCCAAGCCAATGTACACAGGATTTCCAGCAAGCTGGGCTGGAGCTGAACAGCACTGAATACACAGCTTTACTTAACAGGCTTTGGGAAAACAAGCCCTCCCTCTCCTGCCTCCCAGCAAGAAGCCAGCCCGAGCCCAGGGGGGTTGCTGGATCTGGCCCCAGCCACATTTAACCCCCTTCTGCTCTGGCCCTTGAGAAAAGTTAGTCTCTTTTTTTCACAGCCTAATTTAGAAACCAAAATTGAATTCCTCAAGCAAAATAGTTCCCTAATTTCTGGGAGGTTCAGCACAATTATTTCTGATGACCAAAGACCTAACAAAGAGATTACACACCAAATCCCACTCAAATTAAAAAAGCAAGAGCTACTCCAGTGTAAATAGCCAGGGGCAAGTTATCTGATTTAAATGTCAGGGAATGAACCAGGGTCAGGGACTGAGAGCTTCACCTGGCCTCAAAGGCAGCCAGGGTGGCTCGGAGAGGCACACAGCAAAGCTGGGTCATGTGCAGGCACAAAATGCCCAAGCATTTGCTTTTAATTAAGTTTCTGCAGAAGTATTACCCTTGTTCAGCTCTGTGCAGGAAATAGCCCAAAGCCTGGTCCATTCCCACAGCTGACTGTGGGAAATCTGACTTTCCAGTGGTTTTGCCACAGAATGACTGTGGGAAATTTGTCTGACTTTCCAGTGGTTTTGCCACAGAATTTAAGATTAATCCTCTCAGCCACATTTCCTTAAAAATAGAACAGTCTGGTGAACGAGTTCCCATTTTTGGGGTGTCCTTACAAGATGAAACTGGCAGACGACAACCTTAAAACAGAAATCAGTACAACTCAGTTACTTTTATAGCACATTTACAGACTGAAGTGTCTACATTCACTCAGTTCCTCCTCACCTTCCCTGGGCATTCGCTGGTTGTGCTCATACAGTTCCTGTGAAAGGTGATTTACCTGCAGTGTTACTACTCACAGGTTATTTCTGCCCACCACTCTGTGCATTACAGCACCTTTTATTTACTTCATATTGCTGCAGCTCCACCCCCAAACAGAACCAACCTGGACAGGATGACTCCAGCTCCCCCGGTGGCCCCAAGCTGCTGCTTCCTGACCCACCACGGGGGCTGGCAGCAACACCCCCAAACAAAGGTCAACCTCGCAGAGCCACCCCAACACCTCTGGCTGGCTTCTCCCCTTGGTGCAGAGCCAGCCAGCTCCTTGTCCCAAGGCAGGAATTATTTCTCAGAGACCAAACACGAGGAGGTTTGTGGTGTTTGTTAGGAACAAAGTTCCCTCTGGTGGCCTGCGGACAGTGCCCTGCCCCTCCTGAGCCCCACAGCCTGGGGCAGGGCACCAGGGGGACTCAGGCCAAGGCTCCTCCTGCTCCCCAGGCAGAAAACCTCTTGCCTTAGCCCCTGGTGCAGCCAGGGTGCAGTCACTCACCAGCTAACGGCACAGCAGAGCAGCTGAGGTCATCGGGGACTCCTCTGAGCAGCTCTTCCCTGGGGAACAACCCCAGGAGTCTCCAGCGCTGGCAGCTCCCACGGGCTGGAGATGGAACATCTGCAAACACACCTGGGGCTCCTTCCAGGGCGAAGGATGGAAACCACTTCTGTGAACCCTTCACTGGAGGAGTGCAGGGGGTACCGGAACGAGCGGCTCCAAAGCGTTTCCTCCGGCAGCGTTTTCCCTCGGCTCGTGGTGTCCAGGTGCTCCCTCAGGTCCTGCAGCTCTGTGCTAATCATGAGATTACCCGAGGTGCTTTATTTAGAGAATACTTTATTAGTTTCTGTAATCAAACCCATGTAAATAAGACCGTACATATTTCATACAGTGTGTTACCCCTGTACAAATGGAAAAAAAATTCAGTTTAACATTTCTAGACCAATATGGCTGTTAATTTCTGTACAATGCCAACTCACACTACAAGTGGGATACTTTTTTCCAAAGTTGACATCACAGCTAGAGTTTCCAAAAAGTCAAATTATATATATA